GTTCTGAAATTTGATTTGTCCTTTTCATATGTGTTCATTTTTTTAAATTGTATCTTTTGGTATATATGGTTGTGACTATTTTCTTCCACTATTTGATCTGAGGAAGTGGGTCTGGCCCACGAAAGCTCATCATCTAATAAACCATCTTGTTAGTCTTTAAAGTGCTACATAGTCCTGTATTTTGTTTCAGCTACACCAGACTAACACGGCTACATTTCTATCACTATTCATCACAGGAGGTACAAAAGAAAAAGGTATGACGGAAACCTATATCACAGCAATTAGTACATAAGAACTGCCATACTGGGTCAGACCAAAAGTCCATCTAGCCCAGTATCCTGTCTACCAACAGTGGCCAGCCAATGCAGATGCCCAAGACGGAGGGAACACAACAGGTAATCATCACATGATCCCTCTCCTGTAATCCATTTCCAATGGCTAGGGACACCATTCCTACCCATCCTGGCTAATAGCCATTGATGGACCTAACCTCCATGACTATCTAGCTCTTCTTTGAACCCTGTTAAAGTCCTAGTCTTCACAACATCCTATGGCATCGAGTTCCACAGGTTGACTGTGCACAGAGTGAAGAAAAACATCCTTAGTTTAAAACAAAACAAAAGTATGTTAAGGACTAGTTGACTATCCCGATAAGTAAAAGCATATCAGACAGTCTAGTTGATTCCCTCCCCCTTACTGCCTCTATCAGATAGAGGCAGCAAAGTGGGAAGGGGGAAGGAGTACTTCAAAGCAGCAGTGCTGCATGGAGCCCACACCGAGCTCTGTGTGGCACTGCCCCTTTGAAACGCCAAGGTGGCTGTGACGGGGCGGCCCCGCCCCGCACTCAAGCCCAGGGAAACCACCTGGGGCCGGGGGCGGAGAAGGCCCCACCCACACAGCCCTACTGGGCATGCTCCAAAGGGAGCAAAGGTACAAAAGGCTGCTGGCCTGCTCAGAAGGGGCGGACTGCGACCCGAGCAGGAGCTAGCAACCGCGGGCCAGAGAGGGAATCGCCAAGGGAGCTGAGCGTGCTGCTGCCGGGCCTCCGCCGGGCTCGGCCCCAACGCCGGAGCCGCCGACCGACCACCCGTGACCCGAGCACCGGACCGGACTCCGCCAACTCTGTGGCTGGGGAGGGCCCAGACCCCCCTACCCCTGCTGCCCGAGACCCTGGCAAGTGGGGAGCAGGGCAATAAACCCTGAACTGAGGACTAGGCCACTGGGCCTGCAAACTGAGGACTAGGCCTCTGGGCCTGCAAACTGAAGACTAGGCCACTGGGCCGTATTTCCCCTAAGAGAGGGGCATTGTACTTGGGGACTAGGCCAGTGGGCCGTATTTCCCCTAAGAGGGGGGCAGTGTACTTTGAGAGCTAGACTCAGACAGGCCGAATTAGGCCCCGGATGGGGGTGGCAACCCCAAGACAGGGGCGAGCCCCCCGACAGTGGCATTTCAAAGGGGCAGCACTGCTGGAGCCTGGGGGTCAGCTTTGCGGTGCTGCCCCTTTGAAACACCGCCACAGCATTTCAAAGCGGCAGCAACGTGTGGAGCCCCGTGTCAGCTGGGGATTGCTCAGCTGACCCTGGGTTCCAGCGCAGCATTTCAAATTGCGCAGAGCCCTGGGTCAGCTGGGGAGTCTCTGGCTGACCCCAGGCTCCGTGTGGCATTTAAAAGCAGCAGCACAGCATGGAGCCCGGGGTCAGCGTGGGACTCTGAGTCCCCTACTGACCTCAGGCTTCATGTAGGTGCTTCCGCTTTGAAATGCACAAGAGTCTCTTGTACATTTCAAAGCTGGCACGCCTGTGTGCAGCCTGCAATGAGCAGGACTTCCTGCTGGCCTAGGGCTGCATATGGAGTTCCGCATTCCTCCTGAAATGTACAAGAGCCCCACTGCAGGGGCTCTTGTACATTTCAAATGAGGAATGCAGAAATGCCTATCGAGTAGTCAATGGAAATTCCATCGACTACTCGACTAGTAAATTACTCAATATTTAACATCCTTATTTTAAACCTAATGCCTATTAATTTTGTTTGGTGATCCCTAGGTCTTACATTGTGGGAATAAATAAATAACTTTTCCTTATTCACTTTTTCCACACCAGTCATCATTTTATAGACCTCTATCTATCCCATCCCCTTAGTCTCCTCCTTTCTAAGCTGAAAAGTCCAAGTTTTTTTTTAACTCTCTTCATACGGGACCCGTTCCAAACCTAATCATTTTTGTTGCCCTTTTCTGAACCTTTCCCAATGCCAATATATCTTTTTTGAGATGAGGCAATCACATCTGTACACAGTATTCAAGATGTGGGTGTACCATGATTTTATAAAGAGGCAATAAGATATTCTGTCTTATTTCTTTAACAAGCGAGGTAGCTTTACTAGCTACAGTATAACTGCTCAGCATAGAGTTTTGTTCCTACTAACTGTAACCAGCATTCCTTTAAAAAAGAAATATATATTTGTTTCATTACATTGAAGTTTATTCATTTTAATCTTTTCTTTTTAAAGAAATGTTGCTGTTAAAACTAAACTTTAAAACGACCATAGCCATATAATTTCTTTTAAAAAAAAAAAAGGTGTATTGATTAAAAAAATGGTAATCACTACCTTTACCTCAAAGAAAGTATGCCTGAAATAACAAATGCTGGGCAGATAGTTCTTTGTACCAAAGTATTTTAAGGTTATATTTACCCTACCACATTTTTTCAACAAAACAAAAATTGCCAGTGGGCATTCATGCTTGCTCCTTCTTGACTGATCATGCCTACACACTAAGGACACAATCATCATAATTGTGAGCAATGCACTGTGGGTATGTATCCCACAGTGCAATGTTGTGGGAAGGCAAAACTGATCACATCTTGAGATTCCCTCCAAGTTCTCCAATAGTCTTCTCAATATCATAGGTAGCGCTGTTCTCCCCCTGCTGAGAAATGTCAGTACAGTATGTCCCTCTCCCCCTGCAGCAACAGTCTGTCTGCCACTGTGTTCCTATTGTAGGTCAGAACAGGAGCAGTCCAATTATTTGCTCTTTGTTCCCCAAATGGAGCAGCACACACAGCTGTCTGGTGACAAAATATACAGCAGTGTCTACACTGGCTCTTTGTCATCAAATATGGGAAGAGGAAAGAAAAAACTCCCGGGGTGAAAGTTTTTTGTCACTGTAACGGGACATTTTTTCCAACAACAGTGGCATTGCAGTGTGTATGCTCTCACTGTTGTGTCACCAAAAGGTGGTTTTGGTGATAAAATATGGTAGTGTAGACAAAGCCTAAAATTGTATAGGGAAAAAAATTGTCACTACCTTGAAATCATAGTGAGATCCTTGCAACTGTTCTGGTGAAGCATACAGACAAGTACCCACTCCTGAAGTATGTTGTAGCCCTAAAAAAATAAATGGAATTTAAATTGCTTCAGTGTCTCCAATTTCATCTATAAAAACTGATAATTTAAACATTAATTCTTTCAATAATGCCCTGCTAATTTTTAATTGAAAACAATGGTTTTTTTCCCCAATTACCATTTATCTTCTCTGTCTTTAACCAGTGGTCTGGGGTTTCCTGTATAATATCTCTGCAAGCCAGTCCAAAATCTCCTATTTTCACGTGGCGGTCTGATCCATGTAAAAAGATATTTCTGGGCTACAAAAATAGGCTGCATTAATATCTCACTTAAAAAAAAATAAGTATTCTGAAGTAATATTTCTCTATTTCAAGTTTTACAAATTTTTTTATTTCTAGGGATAAAACCAAATAAGAATAATTATTAATTTTTTAACATCTACATTAATGACCTCATAAAAGAGAGCAAAAATGAAATTCACAAATGCTATTATATCAGAAGATGATGTAAACACTGTCAGGGGTAGAGAGGAAACACCAGAGACTCTAAAGAGAAAAACATGAGTGAACAAAAATAAAAAATTTAACATTGGAAAAAAAATACAAGCCTATAGCCTTAGGGGGGAAGCAATATCAAATCTTTAGCAGGAGAGGGAAACATGACAAACAGTAATGACAGGAGAGACGAGGATTAGGAATCAAAGCATTGTATGAAGAAAGATTAAAATATCTTAACATGTTAAATTTAAATTTGGTTATATGACCATGAAAATGGAAAAATGCTAAAATTAAAAAAATATCTACAGATTATACACACAAAGAAAGGAAAATTATTTAGAGTATTAGGAGTATGATATGAAATTACATAGAACATTTAGGCTGCATAATAGAATATTATCTCCATAATGAAATGCATTAGGATACAATACAATTAGCCAAAAGGAAGTAAAAGCCCTAGTGCTTGGTAAATGAACTGTACAGAGTAGTTCTGACCTGGCTGGGGAAAGACATGAATGAGTAAGGCACTGTCCATCTTTAATATCTTTATTATTTTATAGAAACTGTAAAATGTTACACAAGCACTGAGGGAATGCTAAATATATAGAAATACATCACAAAAATTGTCTGTCAAACTTATGAAGCAAGATTCCAGACAAATAGCAGTTAGTATTCTATTAATAGCTGTAATTTTAAAACCAGACTTCAAAGCTATTCTAGAACCAATCGTCTTGCAGCATCACAAAGAGTGATACAGTTCCAATGGCAGAGTCCAAAATTCTGCTTTTCCTTTGGACCATGTAGTCTCATTACATGAACTGAGATTATTTTACCATGGGTAACATAACCAAGGGAGCTATCACACCCACACCTGACTCCAATCCTTTCATTTACTCCCTTTCTTCCAGTAGGCAGAAAGGATTTAAGCCACTCCAGGCAAAACTATATGAAGCAATAATGAAAAATGACAGCACCAATATTAAAGCTTTGCTAGCACACCAACCTGTCAATGAACCAATGACTGTTTGGGATAATGCTGCGCGCAGAAGACCACTATCAATTCAGGTAAACATTTGACCTAAATTATCATTTTAAAATTGAGAGTAAAGATGCTATTTTAAAATTCACATAACATTTCCTCAATTAAATTAACTAAAACCATCAAAAATTAATATTTAAAAATGGGTGGGCTGCTAAATCTATATTTGGCCAGATCCTACTGGTTATTCAGCTCTTGATAAACAAGACTATTTATTTTGAGTGTTAATACTGAAGATACTAATTTCAGGTAGTGTTTAACTAGTTAACAGATTAAAGGCACAGGCTACATCTAGACTGCAGACTTCTTTCAGAATAAGCTTTTCTAGAAGAGATCTTCCGAAAAAACTTCCAAAAGAGAGCGTCCACACTGCCAAAGCACATCAAAAAAGTGATCTGCTTTTTTGAACGATAGCATCCACACTGAATGGAAGCTATCTCACACGTACGCTGTGATTACTATGGACGGAGTGGCCACCAGGGCACTTGTGCTTTTTCCTCTTTCCTCTTCTTTTGAAAGAAATCCTGCTCCCCCATCCACACATGCCTTCTTCCGAAAGAGCTCTTTTGGAAAACGGCTTCTTCCTCAGAGAAAGAGGTTTACCAATGTTGGAAAACCCCCTCTGTTCTATTTTTTTTTTTTTTTGTGAAAGAACTCTATTGCAATGTGGAGGAAAATGAAGGTTTTTTTTTTAAAAAACAGCCTTTTTCTGAAACAACTCTGTATTGTAGAGATAGCCCTAGGTTGCTCCAGCCCAGCCAGAGCTGCTCTTGCCTGTGGTGAAGTGTGGAGATGGCAGCGGGGCTGGGAGTTGGCAGCCCGGAGCGAAGGCCTAGTGGGGCAAAGCTGCTCCCACGTACCAGTAACTGATTAAGGGTGATGCTCACCAAGTAATTGGTTACCATTCACATCCCTACTACAAAGTGGTTCATACAGCTAACAGAACCTCCCACTTTGCCTGACACACATGATCAGCCAAAGCATAATTAGAACGATCACTCCCAATAGCGAGGAAGCTGTGATATAAAGTTCTCACATCAAAAGCCAGATGAAGATGAGGGAGACTGGCCTCGGACACTGGAAACCCTCTATGTGGTAACTATATATATGTTGAACAGTGGGAAAAAAACTCATTAAGTTTCCAAGAGTAAGACGAATGGGTTAAAATAGTGTAATACAGTATGGAATCAGTAACAACCATAAATAGAGAGTTTGACTTACTGATCCTGTCCCCTTCCTTTTCATCCTTTACTTAGCCAAAGCTCTATTACCTTCGTTACAGTTAAATATAAAATCCTGAGTAATCGTTTAATCCTATATATACTGTAATCCTGTATATACTGTCATTAGGCAGAAGTAATCTGTATTCCCGTGCAGTAAGGCACCTCATCTCCAAAAACACATGGGCACTATGAAAAAGAGATCACTTCTTTGTGTAACTTTTCTTCTAATTATGAACTATTAGTAGAGAGAATTCCAACTTAATGAAGTGTGTTTTTAACAGGATGTGCTGACTCAGGAGCTAACCCTGTCATACATACTAATTGAGCTCTCACTGAAAGATAAACATTTGGCAGTGGCTATTTAACATAGGGGACACAGCCAAGAAATTAGCTGAGTGGAAATAAACCCAGCAGTTGGGTCTGTACAGGTACACAAGGAGAAAGGATAGGAGGAAGAGCTGGGATCCTAAAGTAACACAGAAGGACGAAGTTCTAGCTGGTGCTACTGTACCTTCCACAGAAGGAAAGGGAGCTAGTGATTCACTGTCAATATAAAATACATCACAATACAGTGGTGATGAAGGAGACCTGGAGCAGTTGTGGTCTGTTGATATGGCTTGAGGGAACTCTCATGGGTCCACCCCAAGAAATGGACTAGAAAGAAATGGACACACATGGGCTATTTCTTCCTAGTCTTCTTTAATTACAATATTGTTACACATACTGCTTAATAAGAAAAAAGGCAGCAGCATAAGATGTAAATCAATATACTCTTAACTCTGCAGGTAGCCCGAACCCACATACAGCTCACAGAACAGCTTGCTTAAAACCACACACAGCCAGTCTGACCCCATCTGCAATACATACTCACTAAAAACAGACAGAGGCACATGCACAGCTTTATATCTAACACACACACTAAATGACCTGAATTTCTTGATTTTTTTCAAGCAATAAATGTTTAGAAATCTTTAAAGCCCACCTATAGAAAAATATGAGTAAAATTTCTAATATTCAATGCTTAACTACTCTGATTATGGACACAGCTGTGTATACTCTTTCAAGAAAATTAATAGTAAAATTCAAATAATCAGTGGGCAAATAAATCAGAATACAAGGTTCTTAAGTATTTTCTGCAATTAAATTCTGCAGAACATATTCTGCCATTGGTTTGATGCTTTAGTGAACCAAATTGAGTTCTGTGAAGTAGACAGCAAGTATACCAACATTATTCAGGCAAATGCCTCCCTTTGCTCTCACTTATCAAGGGATTAAGGAAGAAAGGTAAAACCTAACCATAACCATTTAACATGTGCCTGTCACAAATTGTAATAGATAAACTAATTCACCTTCAAGCAAAGTAAGACTGAAGATTACAATACTCAGAAGTTCATTAATATATATTTTTGGTTCCATACAGGATCAGTCTATTCTTCCAATTCATTTAGCTGCCAAATACAGAAGAGAAAAGAGTTTGTGTTGTTTGCTAGAATCTGGTGCTGACCCCAAAATAAGGTAGGCATTTATAGTCACCAAGTTGTATTCACCGAGAATATGCATAATTGCATGTAAAAATGGAATATAGTTTTAGGGCTCACTTAACAAAATCTTATATTTTATTATAGAAGTGTTGATGTGCAGGATTTCCCACACAATGTGGCTAGACCACGTGAGTTCATAATTTTGATTGTGGAGTTTATTTTTCAGTCACTTAACGTATCCAAAAATACATAGCGGAAGGGGCACAAGATAACATGGATACAATACACAAATTAGGATAAAACATTTAAATATGCCCACTAAGGTGCTAGTTACTGTGGCTACAAATAAATTAAGGAGGTAAGATACAACTCAAACTGAGAACAAAAGTGGGGAAAACATTAGTCCCAAGTAATAAATCATGTAAAACAGTCGCTCCCAACCTTTTTTTTGATTTGCCATGCACAAAAGTAGCCAAAGAATCACACTATCCCACAATCTTTTGATCACAAAAAATGGTGGAATTTAGATCATGAGTGTGGTAGAAACTTCTGCCTGCCTCCCCACATACTATTCCTTATGTCTGTACTTTGCTTAATTCTGGAATAGCAAAGGACCTAGGTGCCATGAAATCTTCTCCCTTCCCAAAATCCAGAGCTGATCATAATTAAGGCAGGAAAGAGAGAAGCTGAGGAGCAGCTCTGTGACTGGCTGCTGGTGTGAAGGTCCCAGCCGCAACAATAAATTAGGAGTAGGTACAGAACTACTGGGTTTTAGTGACCCATAGATTTTGCTGTTCTCTCAACTGATGGCGTGGAACCAACTGCCAGGTCATGTCCTATCAGTTCAACAATGCTAGTCTAAACTGTCTTTGTTATCTAAAATATTTTACTTGAATATCTGTATGTAAGTCACTTCATGTTTGATGAAGATAGGGAGAATTAACTTATTACATTTTTACATTTTAGAGATAACAGAGGTTACACAGCACTTCAGCTCCTACTATTGCACTGGCCAAAAATGTATATAACTGGGACAGACATCTTGACTAGACCGCAGAAAAACCTGGCAACTACACAACGTAATGCCGAAGAGTGTCTTCGTATCTTGTGTGAGAAAGGAGTTCAGACAGATCCTGAAATGGATAGGGACTACAAACACAGCTCATTACATTTAGCCCTTTACTCTGGAGCCTCTCAAGCTATATCTATTCTAATTGAGAATGGTGCTAACATAGATGACAGAAATGAGTTTGGCAAGACAGCACTTCACATTGCTGCAGAGCATTTGAACAAGGAGATAACAGAAACTTTAATCACCTATGGAGCAAACATTAATTGTACTCTTCCAACTTCTGGAAAAACTGCCCTTCAACTTGCAGTGTGCACTGCATCATCTAAAGCAGGCAGAGTTTTAGCTGCTGATATAGATTGCATCCGTTTACTGTTAATGAATGGAGCCGAAGTAAATGCTCAAGACTGTGAAGGACGAGCAGCTATTCATAATGCTTGCTTGGGAGGCAGAAAAGAAATAGTTGAGCTCCTCCTAGATTACCATGCAGATGCTAACACTTTAACAAGACATGGACAATCTCCCCTTTTTCTGTTTCTTCAAAATAGGTCAAATCTAAGATGTACGTCATTATTAAATAAGTTGTTAAGCTTCTCATACCCTTTGAAGCTAACCAATAATCGAGGAGACCTACCCACTGGACTTCTGTTCCCAGAATTTCAAATGCAAAAAGACTTTCTCATAAGATTATCACAAATCATATGGTCTCTGCAGGACATCTGCAAAGTCACGGTCAGAAGAATATATGGGGAAAAAAACAAACAATGCTTGAAAAAACAGCTTCCAGTAACTGTGTGGAATTCTTTATACAACTACCAGGATTACTCGCAACTTTGATAAATAAAAATTTCATGATTATACAGCCACAAAGGTAAACATTCTGGAAGATCTGAATAATGTCAGACACACACACCTACCTACATGAGAAAATAAACCGAGAAACTACTGATCCTGAAACTAATGAAAAATTAAACATGAATTACAATGCATATTAATATTGTGTGTGTGTTTTGAAACAGCCCTTAACTTCTCTCAAAATGTAATTTTAAGGTGCAAGGTGTTTTTTTAAAAATATGTAATACTTTTCATGTGTAATCACTATTTTAAGTATAATATCTAAAAAAAAATCCAATGAACCTCCACGGGAATGCGATGGGGAAATTACACATTCAATCTATTTCTATACATTTTCAATTCAAACGGAAAAATAAATAGATATTCTACAAATTCTTATAAAATCTGACTCCCATTGTTCTTAATGGGAATGAAGGCCAACTGCCCTCAGGGAAGATGCTGAACCTTTATATTGCCAATGGAAAAGCAGTGAGTGCATTGTAAGAAGAAGGTGAATAGAACCAGGGGCCATCTCGTTTAAGGGCAGCATGTGACTTCCGTGCCATTGAGAACAATAGTAGATAGCCTTTTTAGAAGAGAGCAAATCTTTGTGAGTTTGTTTGAAGAACATAAATTTCTACCTTAACAGAGTTTGAAGGAAAACAAACAGAAAAAATGACCATTAATACTAAAATTGTCAAGACTCATCCATCTGCTGGGGTTTGTGTAATTAGATAATGATAACACTGAGATGATTTGGGACATACAATATTCTGACAAGCAGTGCTAAATTTCTTAAAGGATCTATTTTTCATTCATTTTTAACTCTAATTAATTAACAGATTTATTTGTAAATTCTCAGCAAATTCATTCTGTTATAAAGTAAGTGCTGTAATTTTAGGGACGATACAGTATATTCTTCATTTATGAACTGGCTGAATCTTTAAGTGCAAACCTCAGCTCAGCCTTAATAACTATAGAGCCGCTATCAGTACCTCAATAACACAAATGGTCTTTCCTCTCTTTAATAGTAATACCTAGTTCCTATATCAGTGACAAGGAGTCCTGTGGCACTTTATAGACTAAGAGATGTATTGGAGCATAAGCTTTCGTGGACAAAGATCCACTTCGTCAGATTACATGCATCTGACAAAGTGGGTCTTTGCCCATAAAAGCTTATGCTCCAATACATCTCTTAGTCTATAAGGTGCCACAGGACTCCTTGTCGCTTTTGGAGATCCAGACTAACACAGCTACCCCTCTGATACTAGTTCCTATATGACACTTTTCATTAGTAGATCTCAAAGCACTTTTCAAAGGACATCAGAATCATTATTCCATTTTACAGATGGAGAAACTGAGGCACAGATAGCTGAAATAACTTACCTAAGGTCACCCCACATGCCAGTGACAAAGCCGATAACAGAACTGAGTCCTGAATGCATGGCCAGAGCCACATCCACTAGTCCTCACTGTATCCTCTAATGTTAATTTTTCAACTTACTTTAATGTCTCGATGCATGACTCCCTTGCTGTGGATATAACATACTCCTTCTAGTAATTCTTGAAAAATTTTTGATGTCCACCTAACATCCACAAGGTGGTAAGGACCTTAAAACAAGAGACCAACATGAGATTTAATCTCACATCCACTATTAAAATTCATATAGGCAGTATGACTATATCCCCTTCACTACTTTGAAATTCTCAACACTGAGGTGTGTTATTGATCTCTGCTTTTACAAGAGGGTATAAAAAATGGCTGATTTCTTTATACTATTCATTATTCTGTATAACTATTACATTCCCTCATACTTGTCTCTGAATTAATCAAATGCTTCTCATTCAGAAGTCTTTCTCTGCTTTCAATCATTTTTACTGTCCTTTGCTGAACCCTTTTTTATTTCTCCCGTATCTCTTTGAGAGCAAGTGCACAGAATTGAACACAGGATTCCAAGTAAGGGCACACCAATTTAATATAATGGCATATTTTCTGTATTATGCTTTGAACTCTTACTAGAGCTTAACCCATCTATGATTATGCTTCCTAGTCACCTATCATTTTTAGCTTCTCAGACTTCTCTAGTTTTGACTAACTTAAATAGTAATCTACATATTTGTCACCTCATTTTGTCCCCTTTTTTCAGATTATAATTTATTAAATTTAATAATTGTACAGAACCCTGAGGCTTCCCAATGTTAGCCTTTTCTACACTCAAAACTGATTATTTATTCCTATTCTGTTTTAGTTTCCAACCAATGGTAGTAGTTTGCCTTTCACCCCATAACAACTTGGTTTCATTAGCATCCTCATATGTGAATCTTTGCCAATTTTTTTCCAAAGTAAGGATAAATCATATTGGAATTCTTCTATCCAATTCTCAACTAGGCCCAATCGTGCTTAATTTAGGGCCCAAAATACTAACCGTAGGTAGGAAATGGGAGGGGGAGACAAATAAAAACCAAGCAGCTAGGAAATATCCCTCCATTCAATTATAACACAATAGTTCTTAAAAGTGATGTGATAAAACATTTTTTATTTCAAGATGTATAGTTCTATAGAACAGTCTGTGTTAAGTAGATTCCTTTTCACAATAACTGAAAAGGAAGGTAGAGCATATTTTTAATTCTCTGTCCTTAAAAGACCTGTCCCTCTAGATATCAATTGTCAATGAACCTGTAGACATCATTATCTACGAACTCCTCTGATAGGGATCAGCTGCTAGATCTACTATGATCAATCACAATAAGGATACGTCTACACTTGCTCCATAGTTCGAACTAGGGATGCAAATGTAGGTGACCGAAATTGCTAATGAAGCGAGGATTTAAATATCTCGTGCTTGATTAGCATGATCTCACCAGTGCATTACTCTGCTCGACAGCTATTTTGAAAGTGAAAGTGCGTGCCGGGACACGATAGTTACACATGCTTCTGGAACATAGCTCATTCTCATCAACTGACAATGTTCTGGAAAAGGAACAAAATTGGTGTAATCTAAATTGCTCACTGAAAAGGGGTAGGTCTTCTCAACAGCACTCTATTTCTCTAGACCAATCCTACTTCTCAAGACATAGTTTTAAACTTCACTTTTGTGCCATTTAAAATGTGTGAACTTTAAGTCTCTTCTACAAACACCTAATCTATATGGACTGCAGAGACTTTATTAAATTGCTTGTTATTTTGATTGAATGGGGAGGGCAGGACCTGATAACCAAAGTCCATGTTATAACCTGCTGTCAAAGCACATTGACTTTCAGATAGAAAATCAAAATATATTTGGTTTTTGCCCTGTAAGTATTTATATTTTTAAAACAGTTTAAATCTTACCGTAAGTTTCTTCTGTGCTCTCACCACATTTTTTGTTTCTGTCAACAATCCAGTCCCACAAGGATATTTCACACAGTTGCATCTGTATATGAACCATCAGACAATACTCCATCTAACAGGAAAATATTGGCACATATTTTTACTGTAATATAAAGGTTGTTCACTTATACAATTTTATTTTGTTTCAAGACAAGCAATCTGCCATTTTATAACAGGATTGAGTACAAACTAGATAGCAGATACAGTGCTATTAAATTTATTGTTTTAGGTGAGATAAGAGCATGTACAGTTATTTTGCTTTAATTATTTCTCAAATGGTACTAAGTAATACCTGTTTTAAAAACACACAATAAAAGCTATATGCTGTGTAGCTGTAGCCATGTTGGTCCCTGGATGATGATATTTAAATAATAAAAGCTAACACAACAACGTGCCAGATACTCTCATGATATCAAAAAGTATCTGGGTAAGTCTATGGAAACATTTTAGTGTTTCTTCTTTTTCATATGGACCATGGAGAGAAGCATTCTGACCAATAATAACAATTTACAAGAAGAATACCAATATTGGGAAATATACTTGTTTCAATAAATATAAGATAAAAATCAAAATAACATTGGATCTCACTACCTTCAGACCAAAATGCGTCCAGACCGGGCAATAAAGACAGACTAATCAATTTATTTTTCCCATGTTATCAGTTTCACTTTCTGATGATGATGCACTAGTACTACCCTGCAATGACTGACACATTTGATAGATACCCAGAAACAGTCAATACCCCAAACTGTAAGGCAAGACAGTGAAGTTGGTTTCATAAAGGTGTTGTATCATATTATTACACTGCTTCTCTGTTTTTTAGCAATTCGATCCTGCACAACTGAAATCAATGAGTACTCTGCCAATACTTTTAATAGGCGCAGAAAAAGGACCCAGATTAAAAAATATTATGAGAAGAGCTTGTATTATTTAATAGCACACTATGTAAATTACATACTGAATTTTTCAAAATGTGTAGGCTTATTTGATAATTAGAGGACTGTAGCAAACATTTTTAAAAACTTTCACAACAGGTATTCTGGTAAAAAGACATTGTATTGCTGGTTTAAAAGTAAAATAATCAGCTTTAAATAGCTGCATAGCCATGGTAAGAAGGTCTCAAGTTCCTGTTGCTTTTTAATCAAGTTTTCTTATTCACAACACTATGGAAACTCAAAACAAATCTACTTTCAAGTACTCTCACAACTTTCACAACATTTTTAATAGGGGCTTTTGAGGAGTGGAGGGGGGAGAGTGAGCGAGAGAATGGAGATGGAATTCAGGTGTTTTTGTATTCACTTGCAGCCCACACTGTGTATTTTCATCTGACAGGATATACTTAGGAAGCCTATGTGCACTTGAGGGTGGAAGGAAAAAACCAACAACACTGTTTTGTACAACTGAGCACATGCTAAGTCCTCTAAAATATGAATACTGAATGTACAATGTATATATTAATATATTTTATTTGGTTTCATATCAACATAAAACTTTGCTTCCTAATTTGCAACTGCTTCCCTGATAATCACATAAAACACAGCCCATGTTTAATTCCTTCTTGCTTTCTACTCCCCTTCTCCATTCCACTTCCTAAAAGTACAAATTTTACCCATGCATGTCCCAGCACTTTTAATCAAATCATTTAAAGCATATGACACATTAACTTCATGCCCCACTAAAGTTCCTGAGCCAGCCTCTCATCACTAGCCAGGAAATGTTGAAACTTTTCCACAAATACTGCCCTTTACTTCCTCTTTCCTTGCATCTCCCTTCAGGAACTCCAGAGAAAGCATCTATAAAAGCTACAGATGGCTGGAAGCAACCCTCCCATGCCAAAACCAGGATCTCATTATGTCCGAGCTCTGACAGCAGCAAGATCTTGAGACCTTCCTGACATGGTTATGTAGCTTAAACTCCATCCCAGATGTTCAGTTGCCTTCTCCTTAAGTGTTTACACTCAAGTTGTTTCAATGGACCAACAGCCATCTCAGGCTCAGGGGCAAAAGGGGAGGAAGCAGGCAGCTCTGTGCCCCTGGAGGGGGGGGGGGGCAAGGGTAGCAGGGGCAGGTCTGAGGGCAGCCAGCCCTCAGGGCCTCCCAGACTGCAGCACACCCCAGCCCTCCCAGCTCTCAGCATTGTACAGAGTGGTACTCTTGTGGCAATTCAAAGGGGGCAGCTCCGCGCACCTGGGGGGGGGGGGGGGCAAGGGTAGCAGGGGCAGGTCTGAGGGCAGCCAGCCCTCAGGGCCTCCCAGACTGCAGCACACCCCAGCCCTCCCAGCTCTCAGCATTGTACAGAGTGGTACTCTTGTGGCAATTCAAAGGGGGCCAGGTCTCCAGCCAATGCCACAAGCAGCAACAGCCACAAGTCCCTTTGAATCACTGGGCCCTGGAGCAACTGCCTCCTTTGCCTCCCTCCCCTCCCAGAGCAGACTTGAGTGGTTCCCACTTCCACATGGTTCTGCCTTCCTCTTCATCTCTGTAAGTGACACTGCCTGACTGGAAGTTAACTGAAAAATTGCACCAACACCACCTTTGCACATTTAGGTGCATTTGTTAGCAATGTTTAGATTGGTCACTAGAACTGAATGTTAGGAGGTTTTGTTAGTCTATAAAGTGCTACCAGACCATTTGTTGGTTTTTTTAGGAGGTTTTTGGCTTATTTGGGTTTTTCTGGCATTTTTGCAAGAACAGCATTTTTTAATTTTTAAAATTAGATGAATACTTTTACTGAAGAAAGACAAAGAAACAATTATACATTTTTCTTTAATAATAAATTTTGGCAACACTTGTGGAAAGCATGCATGCAACTATATTATCTGCTCAAAAAACATTGACATACAATTACTAGATTTCAGCTCTAAACTCAGTCATACCATTTATAGACTTCACAATCATAATTCATGGGCACACTTACCTAAAACTATTCTGCACACATCATTACATCAGAGATCAGTTAACTGTATTAAAACAGGAGTTGACTTACCTCACATTTCCTGTGCACAAACATATGTTTCTGGGAACATTCTTCTTCATTGCAAGAATCACTTGAAATGATATTGTCTTTATTCAGACAAGAATGAAGTCCATGTGATTGATTATTTTTAAAACAAACTGATCTGTTGTCACTAGTATTAATGCAGCTTTCTTGTGAGTCAGTGAAGAGTTCATATTTATTCGTTTTTATACTTTCTTTACCATCTCCAACAGTAAAATCTTTCGCTATATCCATATGCTGCATTGATTTATCATCTTGATTCTCAAGAAATGTATATCCACGGGATTTAATTTCTTCTGAGGTAAGGTCAGCAAAGATAATGGAACTGCTGCTTTCTTTATTTTGAATATTACACTGATCTCTGAAGAGAATAAAGGAGAGAAGAAATCAGTAAGTATGTGCAGTTTGTATGTTATCTATTAAACACAACATGAAGCTGATGTCAGAGTTGCAATTCAGCTTTTATTTTTAAAATGTTAGAAAAAAAATACATGGCTATTTCAAACCCTGGAAAACCTGGGATAGATAACCAATAGTTGTTTTATCCTTAGCAGCAAGAATTCTACCACTTCCCTACAAAACCTTACCACTGCCCAATTGCTCATTTAGGGTCACCCATTATAAGACTCTTCCCAGTTTTTATTTCTCTTCGCTGACCTTTTCAGTTTGGCAAAGGCAAACTGTTGCAGCACCATGTGATCTTTTGACAGATGTCTGTTGTATTTGTGTCCCTTCCAGCTGGTACGTGTGGCTATTACATTTTCTCCCTTCCTGCCCATCTCATCTTTGAGATGACAAATCCTCACACTTTTCTGTTGGATAGAAACCCTCTACGTCTATAATGATACTAAAGCTGACCTGAATCTTGTGGGTGAATAAGTTCATAATTTGTAAAGTCTATATATCTAGTAATTCTTATTATTATATATTTTAGAAATGTGCATCTGTCTGTCCATCCATGAGTCCATTGGTTCAAGAACTCCTAAACAGTAAGAGCTAGGACCACCAAATTTGGTATGCAGTTTCCTCTTACAACTTACAGCAAGGTAAGATTTTGTTTGTGCCAGGATAATGGGATGTGAATGGAGTTAATTTGTTTCTCATAAAATGGAAAGGGAGAGGTCTAGTAGGAGAGAGTTATACTGCAGAATGACCACAGGGAGGCAGAAATAACAGAGGGCTGCGTGGGGAAAGAACAGCTACCTATTATATATTTCAGAGAGTTTGTCTGTATGTGTGTCTATATGTCTGTCTGTTCCTCAGCTTGGGGGACATGTGCCCCTCCCCCGGCTGCACCCATTGCAGCTGCTGCTCTGAGAGAAGGCTTGAATTATCTTCTCCCGCCAAGGCAGCCTGCATACTGATGCAGGCATCATCCTCAGCCCCTCCCACCCGAGGGCAATAATTTAAATTAAGAAAAAAAAAACTTTTTTGAGTTAAGGACCCAAGCAATGGCGAGTAAATCTTCTAGTTTTACATATTATGGAACAGACCTAAGATGGAGGAGTGTTGGACAATCTTCTCCCCCTCAGACATCTGATAAAAGGTAGAAGAAATGCAAAGAAAACTTAGTAGTTTACTACTTGATACAAAGAAGGAATATTGCTGTAATCAGAATTTTGGGAGGTCCCGCTGTGGCCACCTCAGCCATCCTGTGGACAGTCTCAGGGTGGCCCAAGTTACCTGAGGGGAGGTGCTTGGCATGTGGGAGCAGAAGGGGTTGGCTTCCTGTCCCATGCACATGCACCACAGTGGCTGGAGCCAGAGCAAGAGTGCTTTGGCCTTAGGGTGCTCTGCTTTCTGCTGCTGTGGAGAAGTGGGGCAGTGGGCTGGGAGAGGGTGGCAGGGCAGAGTGGAGCTGACTGCCGGGTTGCTCTGGATCCCACCACTGCAGTGAATGGGGATGGCGGGCCAACCCCTTCTGCTGCCCTATGTCAGGCCTCCATAATCCCTCATTTTGCATTGCTTGGGGGTGGGGGTAAGAATGGGTTAGGGTGGAGAAGGGGCAATAGGGCAGAGAAAGGGTGGGGTTTGGGGGGAAAGGGTAAAGAGGGGGCAGAGGGGAGCAAGGCAGTTGCTCCAGGCCCCACATCCCCCTAGGGACGTCCCTAGCTGTAATACAAATTTAACTCTACAATGCTCAATGTTACATAGACCAAGACCCTATGTTAAACTCAGATGAATATTATAATTTAACATACTTACTTGACACTCTCTTGGTCAGAAGACATTCTGAGTGGCTGCAACTTCAGGACTGTCTTATCTATTGGATGAACAGAAAAACATTGTATTTTATAAACCAACACAAGCACACATTTAACTGCATAATGACATTACAGCTTTAGCTGCTGATTAAACTACTAAAGCTTACAACTAAGGGCAGAAGTTTAATCTATACATAACTTGATTCATCCTCACTATATTTTTTCCCTTTCAAAAATAGTGACATAGGGCATTTCTCATTCAAACATCCAAGAGCCCTCAAAGGTGCAATATTTTACATCTTTTTTTTATTAAGAAAAAAGTAGCATTACAGGGAAAAGGAACTCTCACTGTAAGGGTTGTATTGGGTGCTCTTTTATATGTTAATTTAGTTTTCATATTTAGGAACACATTTAGCCAAAGAAGAAATAGGGTTTTTAATGAGTGAGATGGGAAACAACTATTTAAGATCGTTCTGTCAATGGACATTGGCATACCCTTTATTTTAGAAGTAACTCATATTTTAGAAGTAACTTTAATCAAATGCCATATTTATGAAAAATAGTAGCAATTTCTTACAACACAGAGGTTTTTGACACAAATGTTGAAACATCTATTTTCTAAACTGATGGAAGCCACAGAATCTATTAATCTAGATACTTATATGGTCCACGTCACTGTTGTAAGGTGCATTTCACAAGTATTTAAAATAGAAATAACAAGTGGTATTCTCCATCTCAATGATTAAGTTGCCCATGTGCATTCCTGTGGCACCATCTTCCTGAGCATTCTTTCCTCCAGGCCTATAGCACATGCGCACATACAGGCATGCACACAGAGTGGAGTGCTACTATGCCATGGAAACAGGATCAGCAAGATCTCCTTGCTAGAATCATTAAAAGGTTGTGGGGCTATGATAACTCAGGCCTTCCAAAGGGGCCTGGTGTGAGAACGCAGGGAAACTGAAGAAAAAGGAAAACAAGAGATGCGTAGTAGGGATGCAAGTGACTAGTTGCTTCCCCCCACTGGGAGGAGGAGCTGGTGCTAGGAGCAGTGGTGGATATAGGGCAGGGCAAGCAGGGCGGCTGCCCCAGACCCCATGCTTCAATAGGCCCCACGCCAGTGCCAAGGGCGGACTGGCCCGGTGAGATACCGGGAATTTCCCGGTGGGCCGTCCGACAAAAGGCCGTCTGGCGGCTGCTGGAGGAGGAGGGGGACTGTGTTGGGGTGCCGCAGCCCCGCGCTTTAAATTCCCTGGCACCGGCCAGTACAGGCCATGTGGGGCCGAGGAGTCGCATGTGCGGCATGCTGAAATGCCGCACAACAGCTGGGAGGGGAGACACCCGGACGTGGCATGATGTCACGGCCCGGGACTTTAAAACTGTGCGGCCCAGTGTTGCACCGCCTGGTCCGGCACATGGGTCCCCAAACTGGAAGGCAGAAGGTGGGCTTGGCCTTGGGCGTGGCCTTGGGGAACCAAGGGACAGGCACCAAGGGACAGCATGGAGGAGAGACAAATGCCAGGGGGCCAAGTGGAGACAATGAGGAAAAGGGCAGGAGCGGAGGTGTCAGTGGGAGGGGGAATAGGGTGATGCTGGGAGAGGAGAGGGTAAGGGCATTGGGGACTAAAGGAGGGAGAGGAAGGTCCTGGGAGAAGGCCTGAAAGGAGGGATGGGCATGAGGAAGGTGGGAATGGAGCAAGGCATGTGTGAGGGCACAGGGGCATGAGAGTTATGGGGGCAGAGGGTGGTGAGGGGGTGGGCATCAGGGAAAAAGAGGGCAAAGGGCACAGGGACAGTGAGGGAAGGGGCAGGCACCAGGAAGGTGCAGGGGTAGGGAAGGTGCAGGTGCCAGGGGATTCTGGGGTGAAGCAGAAGGGCAGACACCTGCAGGGGAGGGACCAGCACCAGAGGAGAGATGCAGGGCAGGTGTGTAGAGGGAGGTGTTAGGAGAAGAGATGAGGGGGATAGCTCACATGATCAGATTGGGGCTACTGAAGGAGTGGGCACAGGGGGGACACCTTTTTTCTAGTTTTTCTCCAAAGGTGGGCCCCGCGAAATTGTGCTGCCCTGGGCCCTGCAAAACTCTCATCCGCCTCTGGCTAGGAGGAGCCAGTTTAAAAGCCAGATCCTCCCAGCAACATCTCCATGGGGATGGGGGCAGAGGTGCAGCGGGGAACCGGGTGTGGCTCTTACTCAATTTAAAAAGCAGAGGCACAATATCTGGGACTAGGCACGGGCGGCTCTTGCTACAATTCAAAGGCAGAGGCACAATGGAGATAGCGAGCACCTCCCCCCCCCATCCTTATCAACTAATTGACTAGTTGATGGAAACTATCTGATTAATCAAAATTTAACATCCTTAATGCACAGTAGAGAAAAAGTGTAGAAAAATCAATCCTAAGAGAAACAATGCCTGTCAATGAAAGAAGTTGATGTCTCGAAATCTGATTCTGTCAACAGAAAGCTCAGAACCCACAAAGAAGCCCTAATTTACTTCACTCAAAATTTTTGAAACTCTAATATGGAAAACAAAGGATAAGGTGGTTTACATTTTGCCATTAAAAAACTTCTGAGCATCATTACTTTTTCTAACGTTTTCTGGGGCAGTAGGGAAGAAGAGTATGTCGGAAATGGATCTTTAGATTCCACCACAAATCTGGGATTTCAAAACCTGTTAGCAAATGTACTTCCTCAATCTTGTTAATACAGAGTGCTTTTCCTCCAGAAATCTCAAATTATTTCTTCCTCAAGGTCCACCTGCACTTAGCCCCACTGTTATGTTTTGCCTAAGTTTTTTCTTTTAAACTATATTCCACTGGAGCCAATCCAACATCCAAAAGCCTACTCAAATATTTAATGGGTAGATTTAATGTCCTGCATTTCTAAATGTACAATTACACACCAGAAAATTTCTTACTGCATTAGGGGCACCTAAAGAACTGATAGCCATTGTCATGTTTCCTGGACAAACTCTTTGGAAAAAAATCTCTGGTTTCTTTTTCAATTCTGAGAGTTGACTGTTCTCCCACAAATTAATAGAACACACATACTTCTGGAAAGTGTGAGGTAATAACAAATAATACTCCCCTTTTGGATATGTTTGTTGAACATGTTCCATCCAAGCAGTGTGATAGCCTACAATATTAGTATGTTGCAGGCCAGCCAATACTTTAACTTCTCGAAATACCTGAATAAAAGACCAAAAAGCAACTTTATGATCATCCTTTAATCTGACTGTAAAATGAATCCAAAGGGAATAAAAGCAATGATTCCTAGATATAATTATTTTACCTATTACTAGAATTTAAGAACTGGAAAACAAATTATTGATTTGATGCATTACAGATCACAAAAGTAGATCTTGCAGACTAAAGTTTTTATATTAAACAGACCGTGGCTAAATAAACATATAGAAAAATAATATAAAACATTTTTCTGGTTTAGAAACATACAATGAGCTGCAATATTTATAAAATAGGTATGCCCACTTACTATTTTGATATAACCAACATTAATGGCACTGCTAATTATATTAGGAACCAATTACAGTATGCACTGAGTTAAACAGAGATCTGAACATGCAAAAAATAAATTCATACCTTCATGTACTCTCTTTTGGTAGATTTCTTAATAAGAATTTTTTTAATTGCATAGAATTGACCATCCAATTTGTTTCTGACCTGAAAATAATTTAAAACAAGAAAAATTTAGATAAAACAAATTTCACATATTGAGATCACTGTATCTAAAAACCTATTTGAATAAGAGTTTGTTTCCTCAGAGTCAAAATCTTACACTCACTCTCTTTATTCAGGCAGTCTAGTAGCCTTGACAATGATAAACTAACATGTGTTTTGTATTTTAACTACTGTCTTTGGGTGGTAACATTAGATAGGAAATTAGTTCTCTACTGATAATTTCAATGCAACTAAATATTTTAAAACAACACCTGTCAAGTAGCACATGATTCGAAAAGCAATGTGGGTGAGGTAATATTTATTGAACCAACTTCTGGTGAGAGAGACAAGAGCTGCAAAGAGCTCATCCTCAGTCTGGAAAAGGTATTCAGAGTATGATATATAAATACAAGGTCAAACAGTTTAAACAATTACATGGCTAATGAGTCTGAAACCAAATACCTTCATTTATTAAAAGATATTTTAGATATATATAAATATTCACTCAACATAACAACATGGTTGATAGAGGAAACAAGGCTGATTACTTGGGACCTGATTTTCAGAAGAACTCAGCATTCGCTGCTCCAAGAGAAGACAGTATGAACTGTGGGTGCTCAGCATCACTGAAAAAAATCAAGCCCTTAAATTCTCTTCCCTGGGAAGAGGAACTGTCTTTCCAGGCATTCATATAACACTCACTACAAATGCACCTTCAAGGGCTAGTATAATACAGTTAGTAAAAATAATTGTACTATTAATCAATGGTTGGTACAACCCACATTCAAAATTAAAATAATTTTCTGTTTTAATCCACCACAGTTAAAACAAAATAAGCTTGCATGCTTATTTTATATAGGTAAATCCAAGTCCTTTGCACGAGAAATAAGGCTTCTCTAATATTCAGGGTATAAGAATAAGACTGTAAACAAAAGGGAAATATACAATATATGGTGTTTTAAACCAGAATGCATTAGAGTATTCAGAAAATGGCTTTTGAAATGAAGGAGATTTCTCTTACACACTTTAGGCTCACATTTGTTTTACTGCAGTTTTCTGAGAACAAAAACTAATCAGGTGAACAGTTATTATAATCAAACAGTTATTAACGAAGCTATTAAAAAAGAAGATAAAAATACCTTGTACACTGTACCATATCCCCCTTTTCCTAGTTTTGCAATCTCATCAAATTCATTTAAGTAGCGTGAAGTTTGTGCTTCAAAGAGAACTTCTTTTTCACTGATAAAAAAAGTATTTTATTACTGGTTAAAACTAAATCGCAATCTATAATCAAGCTACTCTGATTAAAATACACAGAATGATGCATTTACATTGTGAAAAATAACTAAGTACTATGACACTATCCATATAGCACAAATTGAAAGCTAACAGTGTGAACAAGTACTTCAGTGTTCCAAACAACAATATTTTGTGAGGTTCATGGGGCAGGTTTAAGCAGGTTTTACACTACGGACCTTATGACAGCACAGAGGTACCAATGCAACTGAGCTGCTGTAAGATTTTCTGTTCTATGCCAATGGGAGAGAGCTCTCCCAGCAGCATAATTAAACCCCCAAAGAGCAGCAGTAGCTATGCTCTTGGGAGACGCTCTCCCACTGACATAGTGCTGTCCTCAATGGCATTTCTGTTGGTATAACTTATGTCATTCCGGGGGAGTGCAGGTGTTTCACACTGTTGAGACAAATTTTACCAACAAAAGTGCTAGCAGACACAGTCTTACTGAAATGGTGGTGCAAGAGGACCTGCTGACAAGAAGCAGAATTACATAAGACTGAGCTAATACACAAGTGCTGTTGTTGCATAAATTGCAAGGTTTCGTCCCCTTGGAGGCTAGTCTGATTTACCCCAAGAAGAGAGTCACACTTTCAGGCTGGGTCCAACTCAAGTTTATTGGTTGCAACCAAGGTACGGCTAAGGAACTCAATGTTCAAAGCAGAGCCGACCCCCAAAATCTCATAGGCAGGGGTTTTTATAGGGTTCACATCTTTCCTGGTTTAGGTGCCTTAACATGATAGGTTACTTCATCTTTGACATTTAGCATTCCTATAGGTCAGGTTAATTTTCCAAATGAGGTTAAATACAGTGCCTACTTGCTGACTTTGCAGTTACAGCTGTGTTATATTCATTCACTTTGGCTGAACAATGGGCAAGCCATACTTCCCTTTTCCCTTTCCTGCTTGAGCCGGTCACAAGTTTAAAGGATGTGGAATCTATCCATATCTCTACTTAACAGAAGACTGGTTTCACTTCCCCTCGTCTCCTTATTATAAGTTATTACCTGTGACAGGCCTTGACCTTTGTCATGTCTTACTCCTATACAATTAGCAAATATATCTAAGCATTAGCAATGTATGTATATTGTACGTGCCCCTCATAGGGGAATCAATGGCTCCGGGGGATTTGACTTCCCTTTTACACATCACTGTAAGCAATACAGAAAGGATACATGTAATTTTCATTAGTGACTTGGAAAACCACTTTCAAATTAGTTACTTGCTATTCTGAAAAATTTGGCAAACAAATTTCAAAAATCAAGGATTCTGCACTACAAAGTGAGCTTTGATCCTATTTTGACAATGTTAGTTTAGTGTAAAATATTTATTATCATTGAACAGTAAACTAGAAAACATATTACTGTGAATTTTACTGTGTATTTTAGCAAAGCCTTTACTAAACAGTGATGGTGACAGTCTGTGGTATGGGGGTTGGCAGATTACATCAGAATTATCTTTACAGGATGAGAATTAGAAATGTTTTATACAATTTATATCAAAAGCAGTAACTGTTTTCCCAGAATGATTTCACCAAATCTCTCTCCGCAACAACCTGATAACTCTTCAACAGCTGGGGAAGCAAAGCTAGCTATTTTCTCTTAATTAATTCAATCCCGTTTTTCAGGACAATTTGACTTTAAAAAAGAAAAATTACCATGGTGTTTTAAAATTTATCTCACTTCTCTTCAAAAAATGATTGTGCGGGGAGAACCTTTATCTGATCCAAAAACCTTTTAAAAAATCCCCAGTGAAAACAATACTCTAGCCCTGGGGTTGGCAACCTATAGCTCACTTAGGAGCAAAGCTCACAGCTCGAGCTCAGTCCTCCCCACCCTTCACCACCAGCAACGGGTGTCTGCACTGGTGATCCAGTCTTGAGCCCCTTGCAAGATTGGAACTAGCACCAATTCCTGCGGGATGGAGGGAGGGGGAGCAGGGGAAGGTGAAGAAAGCCCCAAGCCTTGCTGCACAATTGGGAAAAAACTGGAGCAACAAATGGCTTCACACGTGTGTGTTCCCCTTCCCCCTCCCCTGACTCGAGGAACAAAGCAGACAAAAGTGTTGCCTGGAGACTTTTCCCACTGCTCCACTGGCCAGAATCTGGCAAACAGAGCAGCAGGAAGCCACACCAGGGACATGATGCCCGAGAGCAGCGTGAGTCCCTGTTGCTCCATGTACTGCTCTGCCCCCGCTTCACACCGCCTAAGCCATGCACTCGCACCCGCTGGAGAGCACCCTGGAACCGCTGGGAGTCCATCATCAGCGTGAGCAGCTTCTTCCTGGTGCCAGCAGGCTGGATCCTGGCCAGCCTGGAGAGTTACAAGAAGTGCAATTGAGCAGGCCGGTTCCCATCCACACCCAGACCTGCCGGCCGGACTCCCTGCACTCCTGGCAAGGCACAGCCTCCATTCCACACTCAGCCCTTGGGCCACTTATTCCATCTCCCGTGTGGAGCAGTGGCTGGCTGCCATGTGGGAGTGACTTACATCTGTTACAATGAATAAACCCGGTTACAGACCCTGGAAAAAAGAAAAGGAAGTGACGCCCAGACCCTGCACTCCCCCCCAGCCCTCTCACGCCAAGACCCTGCACCCCAGCCTGCACCCACCTTCTCCCCCCTGGCCAGGCACCCTACTCCCAGCCTGCTCCTGCGCCCTACCTCCCACGCAGATCATGAGCCCCCATCCTTATCCTACTCACTGGCAGCTCTGTTGAGCACACTGGAACCCTCATTTTTGGCCCCACCTTAGAGCCTGAGGGAGCTACAAAATCCACTAACCCTGGAACCCCAGAAGGGTTAATCTAGCCTAAGGCCTTGAATCTCAGTCCTCCCTGTCCCTTCCCGACCCTCTATTGGGCTGGCTGCCAGGGGTGTGAGGTTTCTCAGCTGGGGGCCATATCAGCAAAGATAGGAGTTTTTTTGGAGGGATTGTTTGTTTGCTTCTCACTTGTGTGGTTCCCAACTGTTCTGTGGGTCAGTGGCCCCGGAACATAACACTCCTGTACTCTCCACCCCAACCCCAAATCTGAGCCTATCATACACTGGAACCCCCTGTCCTGAGCCTCTCACATCCCCAAATTCCTGCACTCCCAAATCCTCAGTCTTCTGCCATAACAGTTTTGCACCATTCACACACTGCAAATCTGTGTCCTGAGCCCATCATCTCCCAACCTCCATGCCCTGAGCCCCTCACACACCCCAATCCAGACTCCTGCATCCCCACATTCCGTACCCCCTGCTATAACACTGCTGCACCCCCCACACCCCAGCCGTGTTCCCTGAGTCCATCATACACCTAAACCCCTTGCCCCGAACCCCTCATACAACCTAACCCAGATTCCTACATCCCCAGCCCCCTGCCATAAGATTGACAGAAGACAGCTTGAATGCGTGCATAAAGCTGGATTTGACTAGTTATAATGTAAACTTCAGAGAAATGTACAAGAAAATTCAGCAGCAGAAGTCCCATTAAATAAACTCTGTGAGTACAATGTTTAATTTCTGCTATTATTAATAATTATGTCAATTGTCAATAGTATTAAGTCAGTGGTCCCCAACCTTTTGGGGCTGCCAGGCGCCCGGGGCCGGGGCCGCTCACACGCCACACATCCGGGGGTGGGACCGTAACCGCGCCGCAGGCGGGGCTGCGCATGCACCACACGTCCGGGGCCAGCACTGTGCATGCGCCACGCGCCCGGAGCAGGGACCGCGCATGCTCCGTGTGCCTGGGGCCCGGGGCGCAAGAATGACTTGGGCCAGCCCTGGTCACTCAGCAAGCGCACATAAATGCCCCAGCGGGCGCCATGGCGTCCGCGAGCACTGCATTGGGGACCACTCTATTAAGTTGTATATTTTCAGTCATGCAAATGGGCATTCTTATACGGCTCTTTGTTCACCACTTGTTCAGAATTTTGATGTAGTTTGGCTTTTGGTTTGAAATGGTTGCCGACACCCACTCTAACCACTACTGTCATAATGCATTCCAGAAAAAGCATTCTCTAAGATGCAAAATAGTGATAATCATGCTCATTTCAGAATTTCAACCCTGAACCCAAATTCCATTGACATTCTAAAGTTAGCAGGAACCATTTTAAAGGCACCAGTAGGAGATTACACACTCCAAGCTGGATCTTCTGACCCTTCTCCTACCACTGTTGGAGAAATACTCCCATGATTTTTTTTCCATTAAATAAAATGACAGAGGGTATGTCTACACTACCACCCTAATTCGAACTAGGGTGGTAATATAGTCAACCGGAGTTGCAAATGAAGCCCGGGATTTGAATTTCCCGGGCTTCATTTGCATGTTGCCGGGCGTCGCCATTTTGAAATGTCCGCTAGTTCGGACTCCGTGTCCACGGCTACACGCGGCACGAACTAGGTAGTTCGGTTTAGGCTTCCTATTCCGAACTAACATTACTACTCGAGGAGTAATGGTAGTTCGGAATAGGAAGCCTAGTCCGAACTACCTAATTCGTGCCGCGTATAGCCGCGGGGCACGGAGTCCGAACTAGCGGACATTTCAAAATGGCGACGCCCGGCAACATGCAAATGAAGCCCGGGAAATTCAAATCCCGGGCTTCATTTGCAACTCCGGTTGACTATATTACCACCCTAGTTCGAATTAGGGTGGTAGTGTAGACATACCCTCTGTCATTTTATTTAATGGAAAAAAAATCATGGGAGTATTTCTCCAACAGTGGTAGGAGAAGGGTCAGAAGATCCAGCTTGGAGTGTGTAATCTCCTACTGGTGCCTTTATTTCCTTTACAGCCCCACAAATGTACCTGTGAACCCCATTCAGAGAATCAAGCATCCAAAGCCAAACCAAAGGTACTTTTGTTGCTGGCAAATGGGCTATCATGTCACAACTACTTAAAAAGATTTAATAACTGTAGTACAGCAGCCCAACAAGTAATATCTAGTGGATTACATAAAGAAAATGCATGAAATCTCTCCCCACCTTTACCTTTTGTTAAAAATAATATGTTTTTGAATACACAGGTGTTTTAAACTGACTAAACCCAAAATACCACTGATCAAATTTCTGACACACAAGATCTCAAGTGCAATATTTTCCCGCTATGCTGAGTTCTATTGTTTTTATATTGCAGAATTTCAGACAGAAAATTAATCTGAATACTTAACACAGCATTTTGGACACATACCTATCTGTGAGACAATCTCTATTGTTGAGCTCCTATAAAATAACAAAATTCAATTGTTAAAAAAAGTCATAAATAGAAAGAATTCTGAAGTGCAGTTAATAGTTAAATATGAACTTTACTACAAAAAGGTAAAATAGCAGAATACCAATTATTCTCCTAAATGTTGCAAATAATAAAAGATTGTAATATATTTAAATCAATATGCCTACATTTCTGTCTAAACAAAAATAAAGCTTTTATCTGATAAAGAAGGGGGGGACTTTTGGGGTTTGGGGGACTGCTGACCCATAGAAAAATCAGTTAGGAGTTGAGGTTACAAGCCTGCCACCTGGGATTAAGCCATTGCCTTGTGAAGGTTTAGCCTTCAGTTTCCTCCCACCTCTTCCTGGGTCATGTAGCAATTTTTGTTATCAGAAGGAAGTCATGGTGCAATGAAGTTTGAGAACCCCTGCTATACATTTCTCCTCATACCCATCCAAATTACCAGTGTGTAATCAGAGCACCATTTTGTCTGACTTTTGAAAATACACAATTCAAATATAAATATATAAATATAGCTCCATAAAGAAAGTTGCTCCTGAAATCCCAACAATTAGGTTCAGTGATGAAAAGGTTCTTAAAGAAATTTAATAAAGCTTACCTCAAGTATTTGTTGATTAGATGCTTTCATTAATTGAGTAATGGCTCTATTATGTTGCAATCTTAAAGTACTAAATTCATCACAGAAGGCAAAAGAGGAGAGCAATCCCATTCTAGTGAATGTCTGACAAATTACTGTAAAAAGAAGCGAGATAGACGTTATTGAACAGGAAGCCTAACTAAAGGATTGCAACTTTAAATAGTATAACCAGATAATAAATTTTCCTCGTTATTTCTTAGCCTGACAATTTAAAGTGATCTAGTGAATCAATGAACGTGAGTAGAAGCTAGGTGCCCAATTGCATTTTAATTCTCTTTCTTGCCAAATATAAATAAATGTGAACGAAACTCTGAGCAACAGATATTTGTATTTAAATACAGGCAAGGGAACAAATGCCAATGCTAACACCACATGTGGGTGTTTACAAAACCATCTTGTCCTGAACTTTTTTTCCAGAAGTAAATGTTTTATTATTGAAACTGAAAATATCTTGTAATGCAGCCAATGCGGAGTTCGGAAAGCATCTGGTGGTATTGCATGAACGGTCACATATGGAACTCTTTTTAAACAATAATTAAAAGATTTTGAATCTGAAAATAAAAGTTCTCTTATACTTTTTCTTCACTCCTGAAGAGGAACCAAACCAAAACTAACTACATCTCAACTGTAGCTATGCTGTAGAAATCCCTTCCTACCCACCAAATTAATCCACTTTCCCTCACTGCCTCTCTTAAGGGTGAAAGTCTCTTGCGTCTTCCATCTCCTTCCTTTCTAGCTGAATAAACTCTCTGACCACCACCCTACCCACTTGGCTGCCACAGATAAGGCACCCTTGTACTTTCAAACTTCAGTGCTTACAGTATTCCAAAATCCGTTCACAATTATGAGGACTCATGCTATGCTATTAATGAAGAGTGCCAGTATTATGGTTTTTGCTAATATCCTGTGTGTGCACTCATGCATATGCACATCCAAGTAAATACACCAAAAATGCATTCGTCAAAGCTCCACAGCTAAGCTAAGCTAAGGTCAATTTCTCTCTCAAAATTGATCATTATGCAGACCCATTATGAGAAATAAAAAATTGGTCCTGATAAAATTACTACACACTGGAGAGTGGAGATGGAACTTTGGTGACAATTACAAAAACAACAAAAAAAACTCCATTTAGAACTGTTTATGAGTTAAAAGTGACTTCTTTCACAAATATGTTGAGCCTGGTTCTTTGGATAACTGCAGTGCAAAAACAGCCTGTTACCAAGTCCAGCAAACTATCCATATAGATAAGAGCCTTTGAAAATATGTACATAAGCTACGTTTTATATTGTGATTAACTGAAGCTGTTAACCAACTGTTGAATGTAACGTTATACAGGTTGAACCTCTGAAATCTGGCACTCTCTGCTCTGGCAACCTCCATGGTCTAGCAAGTCCATGGACATTGCTGGACCAGAGAGTCTGGCTGGGAGTGGGGGAGGCCAGGTTCAGGAGCAAAGTCCTGGCTGGTGGCAGCATATCCAGTGGCCAGAAGCCTCTGCCGAACCCTGATCATCAGCAGCAAGGCCAATGCAGCCGGGCTTGCAGTCCTGGCGGGTGGCTGGTAGTGCTGTTGAGGCTGGTGCAGTCAGGAGTACATCTCTGGCCGGGACTGGTGGCAGTGAGGCAAGGGCAGAGGGGAACACAGCCCCAGTCAGGGATGGAAGTGGAACCCAGAGGCCAGGACAGGTTCTCCAGAGGGGCTGATGGCAGTGAAGGGAACCTTGACTTCCCCAGGTCCAACACTGCTCAGATCCTGAGAGTGCCAGTCCAGGGAGGTCCAACCTGTAGTTTCAGGCAGGACTCTAGGTCATTAAATGGTGCACTGTGATGGAGTAACAACCAATCATGGCCCTCCTCTCCAATTTGTTTATAAGCTTCACCTCTATTGGTTGAAATTAGGGGACTTTCCACCTCTCAAGAGGTGTCATGGGTCAAGTACTGGATCATCAATACACAACAAACACTGGATCAAGTCATAGTATACATAGTGATAGAGTATTGGCTATGTGTATATATGTCTCCTGCCCAAGAGGAGACGTGGTTATTTGCCCTAGGATAGAGAGAGACAGTGATATATAGTACTGACTCATTGATCCCAAAATTGATAGCAGAAATAGAAATTTGTTTTTATTTGTTTTGATAGAAAGTAAAGAAAGCAGTGTAAGTTTAGGTATATTAGTCTTAGATAGTAGAAGAAGTGATAGAAAGTAGAAACAGCAGTGTAGGTTTAGGTATATTAGTCTTAAAATAGATAGTAGAGAAGAGATAAAATACGTTAGATTTAAACATTTTCAAATAAAGAGAAGAGGAATACAGCAATCTACACGTCATCAACAATCGCAGTGCTTTGTCTAAACCAACACTTGTAAGTACAAAAAATTATATAATTTAGTCTTATTTCAACAGTTTATACATTCTAGTGTATGAAAAACATTTTAAAATGGCATTTCTCAATTGTGTTAATCATATGTGTTTATTCAGAGAAAATATTCAAAACAAAAGTTATGTGCACAAAAAAAGGAAAATTTCAATCAAAATATCTTGCACCAAAATAAAGGAAGCACTTTAAATAAAGGAAGAGAGTTGTGTCAAAAGGCTAAAACACAAAGATTAGAAGAGTAGAATTAGATTTGGTCAGAAATGTAAAAAGAAAAATATTTGGGAGGGGGCTCTCTGCAGCACAGGCTCCTGGGGAGCCATGGGGGAGGGGCGGGGAAGCCCCTGCCCCCCTCTCCACTGCGCTGCTGCCTCTGTCACAGAGGGAGGAGGCAGGACAGGCAGGAGCTGGTGCTTTTTCTGAATCATGTGGTATTTGCCAGACTTTGTTTTAAAATACTTAGTTGCATTGACATAATCAGCAAACTAATTTCCTATCCTATGTTTCCACCCAAAGACAACAATTAAAATACAAAACATTTGTGAATATATCATTTGCGAGGCTACTCAGATCAAGAAGACAGGTTGTGGGCTGGGATCTGTAGTCTCTCTATGGAACGAGTTCAGAGTAATCTTAGTGATATCACCGGTTACCTCTCTTAGGGTATGACTACACTACCACCCTAGTTCGAACTAGGGTGGTAATGTAGGCAACCGGACTTGCAGATGAAGCCCGGGATTTGAATTTCCCGGGCTTCATTTGCATATTGCCGGGCGCCGCCATTTTAAATGTCCGCTAGTGTGGACTCCGTGGGGTGTAGCCGCGCGGCACGGAGTCCGCACTAGCGGACATTTAAAAATGGCGGCGCCCGGCAATATGCAAATGAAGCCTGGGAAATTCAAATCCCGGGCTTCATTTGCAACTCCGGTTGCCTACATTACCACCCTAGTTCAAACTAGGGTGGTAGTGTAGACATACCCCTACATTTTACCTTCATAGGAGGCTGGTGAAACAGAATTGTTAGTAGAATAGTAGTAATTTTCTGCAACTTGATCCTACGTATTTTGGAAGGTAGAGAATGCCCTCCTCAACTCCCAGTTAAATTGATGATAATTGAGGGTGCTCTCAACCTTTCAAGTGGCACTCAGATATCAGGTCCATAATTTTCAAACAGATCTTGTAACACAGAAAACAAATTTACCTTTTTATAGTCAGGCACATATGACAATAAATAAGTTTAAGGTAAAGTAAAAACCAAAGGTAGTCTTACTAACTTTGGAACAAATGTCTTGAATGAACAGGATTTTGTGAATACAAGTAGCAAAGATGTTCTAGCAGAGAAACAAGCAGTAGCTGGTTTGCAACTGTAGACTTGAAATAACGTTTCTCTGATTCATTCACAACTCGAAGTTCTGCTGGTACATCAGACTCTGAAAATAAAACAAAAAGACTTCAGGGTCAGAATACAGGCAGTCCCCGGGTTACGTGGATCCGACTTATGTCGGATCCCTA